GGGGGGGTGGAATCGAAAAAGTTAGGGCATTGAGGAGTTGATTTGTTTATATACATACGCACCCTGAAGCCCCAAAACCCGGACCCTGCAACCCCACACCCTACAACCCCTGCAAGACACCCGCAAAGAACCCAAATACAATGCTCATGGAACCTCATGAAAGCCAGTGGACACCACCTTAAAAACAAAAAAACAAGCATCCTTCTAAGATCGTGGTGCTACCCGTCTAAGCCCGAAAGAAACAACGACCCTAAACCCGAAGCAAAGTGCAAATCCAGGTCTCCAGCTGCCCCGCTTGATCTTTTGCCAGGGGCACGCCCAGGACATAGTCGGCGAAAATGATGGTGGCGTTCAGAAACTGGAGAGGCGTGGTTGAGACATGGATTTCGGGGTTTAGTGCTTGGAGGCTTGACGGTTATAGGGTTTAGGGTTTAAGGTTTAGGGTTGCAGATCTGTGTGGTTTAGGGCGGCCTGGACACGCTCCTTGGCACTCTGTGCTTGTTATGCAGGTGGCTTACTTTGCACCGAGGTACTAGCCCAGATGATGGCTTCGGGTCGGAGGCGTGATATAAGCCGGTGATAAGTCCTCTATTCTGGTATATAACTCAGTTATAAGTATGCTTGCCCAATAAAACCCCACTAAGAACTATTCATGAACCTCTAAGCCACATCCATCAACTATGTGTTGAGGGCCCCCAGCTTCTCTTATTCTTTTGTGGGCCAAGCAGATCTCCATTCTACAAGCCGGAACCCCTAATTCCGACGAGCCGGACCATCAACAAAAATTACAGGCCATAAGCCCTGGTCGGTCATCTGCCCTAAAACCCGAAACCCTGAAACCCTAAACCCTAAACCCCGAAACGGTGGAAGTAATAGAGGCAGCCGTGGTCATGCAAATCGCCGTCTTCCTAGCAGCGGCAGCAGCAGGAGTAGCTGTAGTCGTCGGCGTAACAGCAAGAGTAGGGTTTAGGGCTTCGGGTTTAGGGAGTGACTATATTCAACACCATCAATCGCTATCGCAAAGAACGATTCGCCCTATTTGGCTATCCTTGTGCGTGCTGTCTGCCTTGCATTTAATGGGGCTGGGCGATCTATAAACCCTATCAACCGAAAGCACTCAAGCCCGAACTCCAAACAAAACGCAAACCTCCGACAAGAAAAGCTCCAAGCCGGATGCATTATCCAAGATCACCCCTAAACCCCAGACCATCTGAATCGAAACCCTGAACCTCAAACCATCCAACTGCAAACCCAAACCCTGAACCATCTAGATCCAAACCCTCAACCCGGCGCCATCTAAATCCAAGCCCTAAACCCCTACCTGGACCCTGAAAAACCTACCTTTTTTAAGGACTTATATAAAGAAATCATAGCAAGGAGCCCTAAAGAGGCAGGTTCTTTGGGGTCTAGGAAAACCCTATAAGCCCTAAAGCCTACTTGGAGGTTCATTGGTGGTTATAAGTGGAGTTATAAGTCCTCTAATATGTATAGCTACCCTACTTATAACCCCATTTATAACTGCCCATGAACCTCCAAGTACACCCTAAACCCTAAACCCTAAAACCCTAAAACCCTAAACCCTAAACCCTAAACCCTAAACCCCAAACCCTATCTGTTTGGCGGCCTTGGACTGGGGCGGCACGCTCAGCTGGCTGCCCGGCAGCGTAGCCCAGGCGAGACATCGCTTGAAGCCCAGCTTCGCATCTTCGAGAAGGAGCACCTGCTGAGTGGGGACGTGGGTTTTAGGGTTTTACGGTTTTTAGGGTTTGGGTTTTAGGGTTTGGGGTTTTTAGGGTTAGGGGTTTAGGGTTTAGGGTTTAGGGTTTAGGGTTTGGGGTTTGGGGTTTAGGGTTTGGGGAGTTTAGGGTTTAGGGTTTGGGGTTTGGGGTTTGGGGGCTCGAAGTTGGTGATTTTCTAGGGCCTGAGGAGCGCCTCAAGAAGGTTTAGGGGTTTTAGCGTTTGGGGTTGTAGGCTGAGGGCTTTAGGGGTTTGGGCCGGTTTTTTTTGGGAAGTTCAGGGGATATATAGGGGATAGGGAGCTTAGGGGATAAAAGGGGGATAGGGAGCTTAGGGGATAAAAGGGCACAGGGTTTAAGGGGTTAGGGGATGGAGTCTTCGTTCAGGGTGTTAGAGCGCCTGGAAGAAGATTTTCGGAGTTTTTGGGCTAAGCGTGTGGATCAAAAAGACCCTTAGGGGGGTAGGGGCGAGGGGGGGTAGGGGGGCCTTAATACCAGGAATAAGGACCTACTAAGGCCTTTCTGAGGGAGTATGGTCCCCTACTCCCCTCCCCTCTACCCACCAAGGGTCTTTATGGTCAGAGGGTTGAGGGTTTAGGGCGAAGGGCCGAAGGGGTTTTTGGTTGCCGGGCTGGGGAAGGGTTTCGGGTTTATGGTGAAGCCCCAAACCCTTTACAGCATGTTTCCTGCCGCATCCTTATCGTAACCCTTATAGAACCTTTCAAGGGAACCTGTTCTATCCATGACGGCCCCATAGTAATTAATCGGATGGTCAACCCTAAACCGGACCCTACCCTAAACCCTTACCCACCCTGCAAAAAAAGACAGGACCCCTAAACCCTAAACCCCTAAACCCCTAAACCCTAAACCGCACTAAGCCGGTAAATCGGATGTTTCGCGTGCCTTTGCCAACTTCGCCTCCGGAGCAAAGCGAACGAAATACCTTGGCACTTCGGGTGATCCGTAGAGGCCGACTCTTAGGGTGACAGGGATTCTAAGGTTTTTTGTTACATTTAAGGGCTACTAAGACGGTTTAGATGGTGTTTTGACGGTTGTTTCAAGGGATACTTTATCCATTGACGGTTCTAAAAATTGAGGGTTCCAGGGTCTAGAATTTAGGGCTTGGGGGAGGCACAACTAGAACTAGTAACTAGAAGCACACATAGAACTAAGCACCCAAGGCACTGAGTGGAGCGCAAGCCAGGATACAGGCCTTTCACAGTTGCGTTCGCCACACGGGGAACTGGCATGCCACCAATGGGTACCGGTGAAAGGACGCTGTAGGTGTCTTCCTGAGCTATCGAATCCAGAAGGATCCTACGTTTAGCACATAATCTATTGTAGGAGCCAGAATAATTAGAATAAGGTTTCCGGCTCCTTTATAGTATTAGTATGATATAGGGAACCCTAAGGAATAATATGGGTAATTACTTAGGCGTTTATTTGACAATAACGTAACAATCGAACAAAACCCGCTTTGAAGAAAGGGTCTCAGTGGTCAGGTAGTGTCTCGGTCTAGGTATCATTGTGAGTCGAAGGTTTTGGAGCTTCCACTGACACGCCCTACATATGAAAGCCGAATTCCGCTGATCGCAAAATTAGCCCGGTGCCCCCAAACCTCCCTGCTGCCTTGCGGTACTTATAAGAATCTATAGTCGCCATAAGCAATCGAGTAGTTGTTACTTATAGCCAAAAAGCAATATGGTACTCTACACCTACCCCGAACATCTTTAGGGTCTAGGTTTAGGACTTAGGATTCAGGGGCACCGTTAGGGTCTCGCCGACTTCAAGACAGCCACATGAGGCCGGCTAGTGATGGGAAATTCAGCTTCATCTGCGCCTTCTTGGTTTCTAAAGCCCAAGCCCAATGCTAGGCGTTGAGAAAGCAGACGCAGAACTCAGAAAGGCAGGTTACCCCAACTCCCATGTACTCCTTGCAAGAAAAAGCAAGATCTATGGGGCCGTTTATGGAATGTAAGGAAATCTATGTAGCCCTGCAACCCCTAACCGAGACTCTGTGAGGGGTGGAGAAACCGTCACCCGGGTGCTGCGTGCTTCGGGCGCGGAAGCCAAGAGCGTTAGCTGTCGAACGACCTGATCTGCACTGAGCACGTAGTGGTCCTGCGTTGTTTGGGAGGAGTTTGGGGTTTATAGTTTAGGCTAAACCCTTATTCTGAAAACCGAAACCTAAACCTTAGAAGTAACAACTCTGAACCTCAAAACCTGAGCCGTGAAACATGCTTGAAACTAGCATAGCCCACATGTTCGTAAGTTCGTACTTAAACCCTAATACAGAATTTAGAGAAGGGGTCTCTGCGAAAAAAGTAGGCTGGTTGCCCCAAAGTCTTCAGGTCGTTCTGCTGAAAAGGATTGGGAATGAGGAGTTGAGCATAGTAATTCTAGACACTAGGGGTTTCGGGTTTGAGGGTTTAGGGGTTTAGGATCTAGGGTTTGTAAGACACATCTCAGACCCTTTTGAAACAGGTGGTGTAGGGTATTTAGATCACCCATATACCCCTAAACCCTCAAGGTAATATACCCTAAAGCCTAAACCCTAAACCCTGAACCCTAAACACCTAAGCCATAAACCCTAAACCCGCCATGAACCCTAAGACCGAAGACCCTGACTCCAAAGAGCCTCCTCCATCCCATAAGCCCGCTTCCCAGACGGGGAGGATCCAGAAAGTAGATCCGTTGAGGGCCTTCCCATTAAAGTACCCTTACTTAGTCGCTGAGTACCCTAGCCCAAAAAAGGTTAACCTTTTGAATTATAGTATGGTTATATAAGCCCCAAAAGGTTTAAGGTTGCCTACTCAGCACCTAAGCTTCAGGAACGTAAGTACAGAGTCCCAACATGGAAGATTTACGGTTTGGATCCTTCCGGGGATCTGGGTTACTCTAGACTCATATGCCCTACCTGCAACTACCATAACCTACTGCTTTGTATTGTACTTTATTGTACGTTTTCACTATAGACGCAAATACAGAATTTAAAGGGCCCCTGCACCAAAAAAAAGCCTGAAACCCAAGTCCTGTGAAGCAGAGAAGTCCAAGTTTGTACCCAGGCCGCTCACCTGCAAAGCGCAACAGCTGAAGACTCCCAGGTTACATGATCCTTTGCAACGTGTTTAGGGGTTTAGGGTTTAGGGTTTAGGGTACGGGCACTTATTGTAAAGAATTCTCTTTTATAACGTGTTTAGCAAGGGCGCTTCTATGGAACGCTCCTTTTGGGTTCCTGTATAAAGTGTTTAACAAGGACGCCTGTGACTTACTGCGAACTACGAGCTTTTCACGGTGTCACAGGGTTGAACATCGGGGCCTTGCTGATGAGAATAGGGCTTTGGGTACTGCTATATCGAAGCCCATATAGGCCCAAACCCTAAACCCCTAAACCCTAAACATCCCTAAACTTTTAAATCCTCACTAAACCTAAACCCTTCGATCGGCGGCTTGTGGTTCGTTGCCGCTGGCACCACGAGGCTGCAAGCTACACTCAAAAGACGTCAAACCCTAGAGCCCCGTTCTGCTTGGAGGTTCATGGGTAGTTATAAGTAGGGTTATAAGTAGGGTAACCATACTTAAAACCCATATTAGGGGACTTATAACCCCACTTAGAACTATCCATGTGACTCCAAGTAGGGTTTTAGCGTCAGGATTTAGGATTCAGGGTTGGGGCTTATGTAGTGTTTACGGTTTAGGGTATAGCGACTATATATGGCCCATGGAGTCTTCATGTATTTAGCCTTCAGACCGAACGGCCTAAATACTTAGAATAGGGTTCTGGTGTATATAATACTATGACTATAACTAGAAAAAGGAGCCCCAAAAAATAGTATAGTATTTATGCGTAATAATGAAGGCTCCTCTAGTATCCCTGCGCCCAGAAGTCTTCAATCCGAACCTCCCTACAAACCCCTCTCAAGCCTTTTAAGACTTTCGATAAACACTACACACCCCGAAGTTGATAGACGGAGTATAGAACTCTGAATCAGACTTGTAGAACGCTTTTGTTTTGTTGTAGGGGGTTTAGGGCGAACATTTTTACCCCGCACACTAAGCCCCTGAACCCTGAGCCGTATAGTACCCTAAATGATTCCCCATACCAGTATAGTAGCCCTTATAGTTCCCTTAGAGGCCATTATTATAGTAGCCCTCATAGCTCCCTTCAAGGAACCCTTTCTACGACCCTTATAGTGGCGCTTATAGTTCTCTTAAAGGAATCCCTAAACCCTAAACCCTGAGCCCTTACAGTCCCCCTTGAAGGAACAACAAACTGACCTGTAGAGTCTCCAGCTCTCCCCGCGAGCAGACGAAGAGCATGCTCTGCAATGCCTCACTGCCAGGCTTGGGCTTTGGCGTTTAGGGCTTGTAGGGTTTAGGGCTTTCGGTTAGGGTTTAGGGTTTAGGGTTTAGGGTTGGGTTTTTTAGGGTTTAGGGCTTCGGGCTTCGGGTTAGGGTTTAGGGGTAGGCTTTATAGGGTTTAGGGATTTTGGCTTAGGGTTTAGGTGCTGCAGGAGCTTTATGGACTAGAAAAAGAGTAAGATGTTTCGGATAGTGAAAGGTTCTACCAGTTACCAGGGTTACTGCACGGGTTTCCAGGGGTTTGGGGTATATCATATTATAAACAATGTATGTATAATATAAGAAGGAACCCTGAGGAATAGTGGTTAATATGACTGGTTATTCCATAAATGCAGGAAACTTTAAAACAGGGCACAGAAATGAGAGGTTGGGGTTTCGGGTTTTCCTAACAAAGTACACTGCTGCTGTAACAAGGCCTCCATAACGGACAATGTTGCCAAATTAATCACAAGTCAGTAGCCACAACAAGCACTGCAACAACAATGTCAAAAGCAACACACAGTAGCAGCATGTGTGTATGAATGTCAGCCTCAATGGAGTAGAGGAACGTTCATATCAAAGCTGAAACACCGGCAACACCAACCTCAATTCAGAAAGTGCTTCGAATGTTAGCTGCACCAAAGCCCTAAACCCTGACTTAGCCCAAATCCGAAACCCTAAAACACACACATGACAATCTAACACGCAGTGCTAGCCCCTAATATCCTACCCCTAAACCCTAGACCCCTAGACGCAAAAGACCCTAAACCCTAAGCCACTAAACCCTAAACCCCTAAACCCCAAGCCACTAAACCCTAAACCCCTACACCCCTAAACCACTAAACCCCTAAACCCAAAACCCCTAAACCCTAAAGCCTAAACCCTAAACACCAAAGCCCTAAGCCACTAAGCCCCAAAACCTTAAAATCCTAAACCCTGAAGCCCCAAGCCCTGCACATCCAAGTTGCAGTGCTAGCCAAAGCCAGGGCCACAGAACAGAAGCAACCGGGCCACACCATGAAGCCGGCCTTGACTAAAAAGGGTTTTCTAGGGTTTAGCGGGGGTTTAGGGGGGTTTACGGTTTTAGGGTTTAGGGGTTTAGGGTTTAGAGGGGTTCAGGCCCAACAGAGGCCTATAGGGTGTCAAAGTATCCTAAGAGCCCAAGCAACGAAATAGCAGAGTTTAGGTGCCAAACACCGTTATGAGTATAGTACTTAGGCAGTAAACCCTGTGATTTGGACCCTCGGGGGCGCATGGGTGTTGTAACCAAGGCCCAACATTTACAGACTTTAGAAGAACAAATTTGGGTCTTGGTTGCGGGGTTTGCATGCTGGCTTGCTGTTTACGCCTACGCGTTAGGGTTCGAATTTGGCTTTAGGGCTCGCGGTAAACCGAGCAAATGCACCGAGAGACCTGTTTGAAGAAACTAGGCTTCCGACTCTGGGGTTCATCATAAGCCCGAGCCATTTAAGGGCTTTAGGAGAGGGGCTTCGGGTGATTTGATCAGGGTTTCATATGGAGGTTGGGGGATTCAGGATTTAGGGTTGAGTTCAAGGTTCCTTTCTTGATCTTCTTCTATGTTTGCTCAGAAAACGTCGAACCTTTATCCGAAGTGCTAGAGGCCAGAGGAGGAAGTCTAGACGACTGTGCGAACTCGCATGCTACATGAATTCAGACAACATTCAAACATGTGGGTCAAAGTTTGCGACGGTTAAGCTTGCAGTCGGATCCATGTGTGACGGAACACTGATATACTCTCTCTGAACCCTAAACCCTAAACCCTACCCTGTTTGATTTGTCCACACTATCCCAGTCCAAGAAGCCCTAGACACCTACAGCGCAATCCTAAAGGCCTTGAACCCTGTGTAAAACATCTTGTTGGGGCCCTTTCACAGTCTGATTCATAGTTGTATATGATATATATATATAT